GTCCGGGCATTGTCCTGAGATGTGCTGAGATTTTCCTGTTGATCTCTTTGTGTTGCTCTTGTACGAACTGGACAGGATTATAATCTTCAATAATTTTAATTTTTTAAGCAGTGAAGGAAGGTTGAGCAGAATGTTGCATGCCATTACCCCAAGCGTGGCCTCATTTCTGAATTTGCAAACAGCTATTGGCACAGCCAGTTATTGTCAAAAGTTCTCATGGGGAGGAACAAGTATTGAGCTTTCTCAATCCAGGTTTTAAAAATCTGTTAGATCCACGTGGAATTTCAGACTTATTCATCATTAGAATTTCCAAAATCCTGTTCTTCACTGTATACCATTACCTGCATTGTCTTTGAAAGCCTGTAGAGCTCAGATGTTTGAAAGTAGGAAAGACATGCCCCTTGAATCTTGAACCTTGAAAGCCTGTAGAGCTCAGATGTTTGAAAGTGGGAAGACAAGGCAGATATCTGCCCCTTGAATCTTGAACCCGGTGTGCCTGGTCAACTTGATTTTTCTTTGCTTTTCTGTTTTAGTTTGTATGCAGACTTTTAAAAATACTTTTTGCAATGCTTAGCTGTATAGAAAATGTTACAGGGAGGCCTTGTTGTTACAGCTTGTTTTTGAAGACAGCAAACCTAGTCTGGTAGGAGATGAAAGTATTAAACAATATTCTGAAAATTACCATTGGTGGTTAAGGGAAGTGCCTTGGCTTGATTTTGAAAAGGTTTGAGGCTGGCGAAGACGAGCCTGTTTGAAGCAGAACAAGAAATTTTAAAGCAGGCACAATACCCAAAGTGCTTGATACTTTTGCAGAGTACCCCAAGAGAGACACTGTGGCAGTGTTGGTGAGGATTCAGTACAGCTGTCGAACTGTGTACTTCCAGAGGATACAGCTGTCGTGAAACCTCTTCTAGAACGTTCTCTGACCAGTAACTTGAAGGCGCTTCTGCCCTTACTCTCCTGCCAAGGTCTACTGACAGTACTTTGTGCTCTTCTCAGTACGATGCACAATACAGATGGACAGAAGTGGCTCTGACCCAAGAGGAGCTCTGAGATCCTGACCATAACATCCCCTCAGGAGAACATACTTGAATAGGCTTTTTCACAACAGGCCTTTGCCAGCTTTGTGATTTTTTTTATCCTGACTTCTTTGAAGAATTCTGTTGGTGCTATTGGTAGCATATCACCTTTTTAAATGGGCAAGCGTGTGTTAAACATTTCTGTGACACGATTAAAAATCTCTAAGAAACGTTAAAGCTGCTTAATTTTGCCTGTAAAGCTGACACAGCGCAATGGTTCGGTACTTTGCCAGTTAAGTTCTATGTATTTTATATTCCTTGCCTCTCTGCTTGGGTCCAGCAGAGTGGTATGAGGAAGGAGCTCGTAGAAGACTCAGAAAATCTGCAGCACTTGGGGAGTTATGATGGAAAATGAGAATTTGAATATTTCTTGCAGGGCATGGTAAGCCTGACTTGTAAAGGACCTTGAGGTACCTTGGTTTTGTCTTCCCAGACCATGTCTTTTCTGTCAGAGATGGCCTCGTTACTGCATAGGTCGTCTTAATTTCCAGTTCACTGTCATTGCTGAAAAACACTTGAATGAGGATATGTGATAAATATCCATGACTGTACCATTTGTAGAGCTGAAAGGGATGGGAGAAATACACTTGTTCAAAATAGTTTCTCGAATTATAAAAGCGGTTTCCCTAAAGCCAATGCAAATTGCTTCAAACTGAGTTAGAAAGGTCCTTTTCCTGTGTTTGTCATCATTTTCCACTAGACTGAACAGAGAGGGGAAGATGATTCTCCTGTAGAGTATGCTTAAAACCAGTATGTCAAACTAAAATACGAGTTAATGCAAGTGTGCTTGAGCAAAAAGGCAAACTTGGGATTCCTTTTATTTCCCCTTTGCTCTTAATCATTTTCCTCTACTGCTGCCTAGCGTGCCTCTGCTGGATTCATCAGACGGTGCATGGCTGTGCAACATTCTGGGTCTCTTGTTTTTCAGTAACTAGTTTGCCACTAATGTGTAAAAATAGTTCTGATTCCAGTGCAGAGCTCTGTGGTACATATCGTGTCAATTTTGGGGCTCCCAAGGCTGACATCTGTAGTTCAGCATTAGTTCAGATGCAGCCCCTCTAAGGGCTGAGCTATCCTGCAAGCAAACAAAGGCCAGCAGAATTTTTATCCTTTATTTCGGTGGAAAGTCTTTATTTTAGTAAACACTCCTTTGCACTATTTCCAGTCCAAGAGCCCTCTGCTGATGGTACTGCACAAGAAGAAATTAAATTAACTCGTCCGTATAAACAAAAGTGTGTCGGGTCCATTTACTTGGATTTGAGCTGACGAATGCCAATAGCAACCAATAGAGAATAATTTGTGAAAAGTGATTTAGGGACACAGTTCTGTAAGAGGAGGGAAGCCCTTTTGATCCTTGCTGCTGGAAGGGATATTTATTTTGAATCGAACTTCAAGCACTTGAGAGAATCTCCAGTAACTTACAGGATTTCCACATGCCTCGCTGTACTACCAGTTAAGCCTGGGTCTGCTTTTAACCCACTGTGGAGTGATTCACTGTCTTCATGGGTAACGTGCAAACACTCAGGCAGAGACTCCGCAGAAGCTCCGTAGCATGCTCTGCAAAAGGCAGGTGATACGCAGCACTTAGATTTTTACATGAAAAAGTGAATGCTTTTACATAGTCTGCATGGAACAACTTGAGCTTTAACCATACTGGCATAGCAAAGGAGATTTTTAATGCTCTCTGCCCTCTATAGTATAAGAGGGAATGGTTTTAATATTCAGGCACCTTGGGAAACAAGTAATTGCAGTCTTGGTTGAATAAGTGGACTGTTAGCAGCCATAAACATAAAAATTACTCATTTATAAAATAGCTCATGGTCTCTTAACTCAGACACAGCGTCCTGAACGGCATCATTGCGCTAGTACGGAATTTGACTCACTGGGTAGGTTGAGTTGCAAATGGTGCTAAAATATACAGATGTTTCATCAGCTCATCAAACTTCTTTCCAATTTTTTTATATATTTTAATAGCTCTATCTGGATTCCATCGCCACTATTATTGTTATAAGTTTTATTGTTCCCTTTGCCTCTGCCTGCTGTTTGCATTTGCAAGCTACTTAGAAGTGTCCTGGAAACAACTCCTGAACTTTACTCCAGAGTCTTAAATTTGATACTGTGCATGTGAAAAATGCAGGGAAAGCACATTTTCTCAAATTTGCCTTCCTAAATATGATAAGGTACAAATGAAAATAAATGTTGCATGCCCTGCTTTCCACATGATGTTCTGGTAATAAATTTCAGTGGATGAGCAAGTGTGTTTGCTGATTCCTCCAAATTTGTCACATCTATGTGGGTTATTTATGTGGTGCTATACACTCCTGAAGGCTTGATTTGGCTAATAAGAGTCATAAAAAATAATACAGCTGCTGCTTCTTCGGAGTCTCTGTTGGATTTTCTTAAAGGAATATTGTCCATCGTGCAGAACAAGTTGTACAGGAGGGTTAGGTGGTGTTCATACTGTGAGGTAACTTCATAAAAATTATTGTGATTTTGTGGACTACATTTAGACATCAACATTCTATCCAGTGGGATTCATACAAGTGCATTTTCCAAGGTTAATTTATAATTATGCCCCAAGTTAGGAACTCATTGTGGTTTGCAGTGCGATTTTTCTTGTTCTAACAGATTTTTTTTTTTTTTAAGTCTGGTGTTTACTAATTGAGGGAACCACTTTGCAAAATTAAGATTGTAATATTGAGTTCACTGCAGTCGGTTTTCAAAATAAGGGCAGCAGATGGTAAAGACATTTTGTGCCCAGCATCCATTAAATGTAATTGGAAGTTGAAAGCTGTATTCACTTAGCATCTTTAAAAATCTCATACCTCCTTCTGTATTAGACATTCAGTAATTGTCTCAGGTGCCTGAACCCCAATTCAGGTTTTTAAGCGTACTGTGGGACCCACCTGTTCCCAAGTCAGCATATTGTTTCAAACTTCTGTGCCATTATTCTTAAAATATTCAATAAAACTATGTCACAGACGGTAGATCCTATTAACGTAAAACTCTTTCTTGTCTCAACGTGCCCTGTTATGCCGGCAAAAAATAGTGTGATGAGGATATGAAACGGCCTTTGTGTGTGCATTTTCAGTTCCTGAAGTTTCCCACCATGAAAGTGAGGAAACTCTTGACATCTTCCAGTTTTCCGTGATTTAATAGTGGTCTGCATGCTGCGTATTGAACATGCAGTGCAACACACACACGATTTTGATTCATCAACACTGAGCTCTCATGAGTTCTGACACTTCATACATCAAAATAAGCTCCTCTCCAGTGCACTAGTAAGAGGAGGTTTTTGTTCCCTTCTCACGTGTGCTAATGGCAGCCAGCTGTTAAATGTCTAGTCTTAGTGGTACCTGTAGGACAATATTTATTTAAAATTTAAAAAATAAAAAGAAAAAAAAATTGGAGAAGAGGAGGAAATAAATACGTATGCAGTGAGAACCATGATATTGCATTAAGTACAGCCACTGCCTGGATATGGCATTCCCTCTATAGGAACGTGAAAGAAATTAATTGAAAAATACCATAGGTCAATTAAAAAACCATTTCACACTTTCAGTGACAATGAGGTTTCTTGGTAAATATTCTGTGAGGAGAAAACATAATGAACAACCTGTAAGGATGGACTCCCTGAGCCTGCATTTCTCTCCGCACCTCAGCTAACCATTACCTTCGTGTTGCATTCAGTGCGTACGTGTTACGCTGCTCAGAAACGGCCATCGAGCTTCATTGCCCATTTCGGTGAACACGGTGCAAAAATCAGGCCTTACAAATTCACTAACGAATTTTGTTTCCGGCAGCTGATCGAATGGCCTTGCACATAGCACTCCTTAAATGTGTTGCTGGTTTTGGAAGGAAGGAATTCAGTCTTCTCTTCGTGTGTGCCTGAAAATTACCAGTGGGTTATCTTTCTTTCAGGTGAAGGAGGCCATGCAGAGAATCCATGACCGAGGAAATATAGGAAAGCTAATTCTGGATGTGGAGAAAGCGCCCACTCCCCTGGTGAGTGCAAAGCATGGTGTGCAGTCACACGAGTTGAAGCATGGTAGTGACTGCTGGAGGCATGTCCCTTAACGATTTTTTGGTACTGTTTTCTTCTAAATCTGTAGCACCTAAGTACAACCAGTAAGCATAATTTATATATTTAACCCAAAGTGAAATACAATTGTAATTCCTAGAGTCCTAGCAGTTACTCTTCTATGCTGAATGGCTATCTGCCTTTCCAAAAATATGTCTGCAAGTCTTAGGTCAGGGTAAAACTGCCACATCTATTTCTGTCCCTGTCATGGAAAACAAATAGACCTTTCACAAAATACAAAATTCCTGTATTAGTAAGTGGTTTGAACAGAAAAAGACACAGTCTGTTACTTCAGTGTACAAACACAGAAGTGCTTTCTGATTCCCACACAAAAGTCAGAGTGTACCTTTGGTAGGAATTTCTTTTACTTTTTTTATACTACGGGAAGTATAATATCTAAACACTTCCTTCTGGAAATGTTCTGAAGGAAGATAGTTGTGATGGAGCTCTGGCCCTGGATTTGGAGCACTTAACATAGTACTGAAACATCACAGAGAGCAGTAGTGAATGAGAGTCAGGCTCACACCTAAATGTTCACTGGCGATGTGGGTAAGAGCAGTAAAGAAGGTAATGAAAAACTGACTTCATATCAGTACTGATGTATGAAGTTTGTTCTCAGATCTGGTATCTCTCCTGTTTCAAAAGAGCAGAAGATAACCTGGAATTACAGTTAAGCTCTTACTCGCACTTACTCTAAAATTGGCCCCAGATCTCATACAAAATCGCTGCAAGGGAAAGGGAGGCTTTTGGGACCTCATGTACGGAAACTGGGCATTATTTTGTAGCTGAATTGCATCTTAAAACTGTAAATGAGAATCCACAGCACAACAGTAATACACTTATTCCATCTGTTCTCTTGATGCTGTATATTCACAATAGCCATTGCTTAGAAGTGAGAATAAATCTGATACACTTTCACCAGTGGGTGTTAATTAAAAATTACGGGTAACTTTAGAGCATTGCTTTTCTCCATTAAAATCAGGTTGTGTTTGAGATTTTGATTTTTATTTTCAGCAGAGGCTAGTAATCAAAGAGAGAATTTATCTTTAAAAGTAAATGGGTCCCTTGGTTAGTTGGTTTTGAAATAGTTATACGCTAGAACAAGAATCCTCTTGCGTCCTAAGAGAGGTGATGTTGGTGTAGCACAGAGTTCAGTGATACTAATCTACGCTGTTAACGCTATCCCCCGTCCAGTTAACCAGGCTCTTGTGGTGCCTCCAGAGACAAGTCTGAGACGGTGAAGTACAAGAGACCCTTGCATCTTTACACAGCTTGTAATAAATATTCCCATGTGAAAAAACACGATGTGCTCCTTAAATAATGTCCTGAACTACAAATTTCTGCCGTTGCCCGCAGGCATCTTCAATAAAATACAGAAATGTGGTTTCTCCCCACTCCTGTATGATCCAACATTTGCACTTTGTCATGGGTATATTCTGCCAGCATCTACATATCCACTCTATAAAATTTCATTGGTTTTTATATAAAAACTCTGAGGTTTTTTTTATATAAAACCTCTTGCTCTCTGAGTTTTCATGACACTGTGCCTCATGTGGGACCAGATCCCATCCATTAGTTGGTGTTGAAGAACAGTGTTACCTGTTTCTGGAAGAGCAGATACCGAAGGAGTTGTAAAGCAGAGGTCTCACACATTCGGTCAGCTCCCTACACAATCGTATTTCCTATCTGAGAGCCCTAGTGGCAGTTTGCTCCAAGTGCGCGGGTCAGAGCCCGCTTGTGCAACTGTCCCACAAAGCAGCTTTCCGTTGCGTCACTCGGCTGTCAGCCATGAGGGACCAGCTTACAGTTTTAGCTGGAGGTGCTGTAGTGCCAACAAAGTTTTGCAGAGACAGAGTTATTCCTATGCTGCAACCACATCTTCTTTCAATTTTAAAGTCACTTTATCAAATGAATCACACTGAAATAAGAATGACTAAAACAACATGAAGGGTGCTCTGATGTCCGTCATCTTTCATCCTGCAGATGGCCAACGACAGCACAGAGACGAGTGAGGCTGGAGAAGAGGAAGAAGACCATGAAGGGGACAATGAGAATAAAGAGCGCATGCCATTCATCCAGTAACAGCCAGAGGTGGTGAAGCAGAAAGATTGATGAAGTAGAAGGGAACAAGGCTGGGAAATCTATTCTGTGCATCAGTGAACAAATGCTGTAGTACAGTGTGTGTTGTATTTGTCTGCAGTCAGCTGAGCTATGAGCTGTTGATCATTGTTGTTTTGAACTCAAGTGCCATTCCCATCCAGTGCAGTATTATGACATTCCTGTGTAGTACCCAGTTTCCCTGTAGGAGTCCCATGGATTTTTCTGTCCCGGTTTAAAAGCCTTATTAACTTACTGTGTAATTTTAGATGGGCATCTTTCTCATGCGAATTCCAACATTTTGCATAAAGTTATTGGGGGGGGTTGGGCTTTTTTTGCAAGTTGGAAACAGTAACAAAAAAAATTCCCCACTTGCTGTCTGGAAGATTTTAGTAACTGGAGGGAGGATTTTGTGGATTTTCAGTGTAAAAATAGTTTTCCTTTTATGAACCACAGATAAAAGTTTCAAAAAAGATGAGATTCCATTTTCATTACTCATGCTTTATCATTTTGTAAGCAATCCTGTCTTCATTTTAAAAACACCCAACTCGTTGAGAATTGTGGCATCTGAAATTGTGCAAGAAATCATTAATTGAGAGACTTTATACAATACTAATCAATCACATTAGTCATCAGGACCAGTAATACAACACTTCATTCAGAGTGCCAGCTATCATGCTTTCCTTTTGATCTGAGCTATCAGGCTGTGCGTTGCAGGCAAAGAAAAGGTCAGTGAGCGGCTCTTTTTAGACCCAGAACTTTAATTGCCTGTAGCAATTAGCACTGTTATTGACAGATCAACATCTTCTGCTAAGGACACATTGACTCAGCTGTGTCCAAAATCCAAACCAATTTTAAATTTCATTTTTTCAATCGTATTGGTAAGGATCACTCATCAGTATGTGGATGAAGTTTACTGCTTTGAAATCGCTAATGTGTTGATCGACTATCAAGCTGGAGCTGAACTGCTACAGAAGTTAACCCTGTTAAAAATGAGTTTTAGGCCTTAATCCCATCAGAAATTATGGACAGGGATAACTTCATCTAGGTGAGTAGTTCTATCAAAAGGTCTCTTCCATATGTACAGTTATGGTTGTAATTATTTGCAGGATCAAGTATTCAAAGACCAGCTAGTCTTATCTACCTCCCACTAGTGGAAACTATATCTAAACATGGCAAAAGTAAGTATTTTTTCCATGTCTTTCACCTGTCCAAGCAGCAGCTACTCAGGTCCTCAATTGTCTTGTTAAAACAATTCTTTTAAAATTACTGCAATCACCTACAGTAGAAATGCTAAAGGAGTGTCAGAGACCTTGTGTAATGCCATATATCTTTAAATTAATGTGTTTTTTTCAAAAGAAAGTATTTCCCCAAGCATGGCTAGTTGTTCACCTAAATCTACAAGAGTCCTATAGCGACAGAAGTTAAAAACTAATAGAGAAAAGTGGAGCAGGAGGGCTTCTCGGGCTTTTCTCAATGTGAAAGGACTTGTGGGTCTGGATGACTTTTATGTGTGGTTTTAGAAGATTCTTTCTTGTTTTTTCTGTTTTTTTCATCTTGCTGCCTGATTATTAATGTCCATCTTTTTACACTGTACTCATGAAGTTGCTGTTCTAATACCAGATAATTGTGCAAAATGTTCATTCTGAAGAAGTTTCCCTTGGCTTAGACAAATTAAAAAATAATGAGAAGAAATAGCTCTGGAGAAAAATGCCAAAAAAGCTTTTGAAATATTAATTGAACCGGAACTTCAGTTTTCTCTAGATGTTGATGCAGAACTCCACTATAGTCGATTTTCTTTTCAAGCTGGACTTTGCCTACACTTCCAGTGCCATATTGGGCCCAAACAGGGATTTTATCCACAGAAAAAATACATGTTCAGTGAGAGTTTTCCATGGGTTGGGCTTGCCAGTTGGGCTTTTAAAAAAAGCCATTAGGTTTTCATGACTCATAAGCTGACAACGGTAGGAAACATGCCCAGTTTTGTTTTGCAGTTAGTGTAATGATGTTGTCCTGCAACAAACCTTAACATAACTAGGAACTTTGATTTGACGCCAAAGTGAGCAATATTGCTGGTGACCTTTGAGCTGGCAGTAAAGTGGCATTCTCAAGGCCTTAAATTAGTAGGGCAAGCAGAATAGCAAGTCCGTTCTTCTGTTATAACCCGCAGTATGGTTGGCTCTACAATTAAATGACCCTTCAAGACAAATAAAGATGGGTGGTCTTGGTCGTGGCCACAGACACCACAGGGACAACAACCAAATGAAATAATTTGGCTAGTTCGTTCTGGTTTTGTTAGCAAGGCAAACATGCTAGTTCATACCAATTTTAGGGCCATTTTCTGATCAGCAGAGTATCAGGTAATTGCAGGGAGTACAATGGAATACTTCTGGATCTACCTAAGTGCAACAGAGATGAGCAAGCTAAACTACTCTGTGTTTTACTGGTATTAATATGGCATATGTGAAGGCTACTACTGAAATGAATGGAAATTTTTCAAGTATCTGTTCTGGAAGCAGGATTTGTGCTAGCAGGATTTGGCCCACGAGCCCTAAGTACCTTTTAGAATACGACAAACAGTAGTATCGCGTCGGAAGTGGTAGAGGGCATGCTATCCAAAGTGATGATGCTGAGACTTGTTACTGACCAAGTCTCACTGTAGTAGAAATGAAGGTTTGTGCTTACTACTGACAGTGTTGTTTAAACAACTCTTAAGACAATTGGATAGTTTCTTCAAGTGAAACAAATTATTTCTCAATTTGCCTTAAAGGAACTGTGAAAGCTTCTCTTTAACTTAAGCCTGACTGAAGTGAACTGAAACACTGTTTAATTGTATTTGTTGCTTTAGAGCTTTTGTTATATTGTGCCTACAAAGCAAATTATGTTTACATAAAAATATAAATAAAATATTGAGCATAGCATTATCCTTGGCTTACATGTTTTATTCTAATATTATGGTCACATTAGGGAACTGACTTGGAATTGGTTAAGAGACAATTTGAGGTTTTATTTTCCGTTTTAATCACTGAGGCAAATACAAAGAATATTTTTTTATTAAAGAGTACATCGAGGTTATTAAAGTGGCAAAGCGTGCTACTTTACACAACATTGAAAGTTTAGATATAAAATGTTGAATATTACAGTCTTAAGAAATTCAACACATTATCCAAGTACCATTCATGAATTGTTCAGGGAAGTGTGTTTTGATAAGGATAGAAACTACTTTCCGGAATTTTAGCACTCAGATTGCACGGGGAGATGGATTGACACACAGGTTACCGTCAGAGACACAGTTCCTTTCAGAAATGAAGATACTCTGAGGGACTAATTTTAAAATAGGATCCAAAACTGCCACCCCCAAATTAGCTAAGAGAAAGCAGGAGGACACGATTGAATCTAAAATCGCACTCTCCCTGTGTCTTGGTCTTAACTCAGGGCTGCCAGGAGGCTTACACCTTTTCTTTCAAAGAACCAATTACAGTTACCAAACCTTGCAGGTCATCTCAAGCCTGTACTTAAAGGTCTCATTGCATTAAAGGAAGAAATGGTTCAATGAACTTCAGTTTCGTACCTAAACAAAAAGGAAGTGTTAGCTTTTGTTCATTCCAGTCATGCAGGACATGTTCTAAAGCCTGTAATGTCCCTGGAAAATCTCACTTCAGTAGTTAGTGGGTCTGCTCTGTAATCTAAAAACTCATATGAACACTTGCTGATTGTGAAGAGGAGGAGAGCAAATTTCTGCCCTCTGTTTTCAAGTCTTAATGAGCAAATAATGATCAGTGCATCCCTAATCACAGGGTCAGGATAAGGCTGAAAGCAAACAGCCATAGCCTTTTGCAAACTCTCTGTGATTACTAATAAAGCTCTGCCTTTTACCAGCTTTCCCACTGGGCCATCTATACTCAACTGTCATACAATCGAACACACAGAGGCTGCTACCAGGCAATCAGGGATGCAGCAGGCTGCCTTTGTGTGGCATCTGGCCAGATAAAATGCAAAAATCATCCCAGGATACTGCGTGTCCCTGGGTCTCACCTCACCCTCAATTTTGTGCTTCTCCTCTCATTTTCTGTGAGCTTAGTGTTTAATCCTGGTTGGTTTTTGTCAGAAAAGATTCTTCTAGTATGGCTGTGATTGCCAGCACACACCACACTTAAAACCTCCAGCTCCTAAAGAATCAGAGAACGGTTTGGGTTGGAAGGGA